GATCTCGGCGGGGAATGTCGATGCTCGAAGTGGCCGGAACTCCGGCTCCGCGCTTCGGATGCTTGGGGTTTACGAGCGGATTTCGACGGCCCCAGCTCATAGCAATATCCGTAGCTCAATGTGACGGCTGCCGAGTCATTTTCTTGCGGTATTCCTGGATCACGCCGTTCTCGCAATGCCGGATTGGCTGTATCCGGGCTGTATGTTGTCTTCCAATCATCGATAGTTTCATTACAAGCCGTTTAGACACAACTCTGCGGCTATCTACCACCAAAGGCAAGCAATGGGCTGCACTCATGTCCCTAATAAGCTTTAAAGATTACCGAACGTTGTTCATTATCCGGATTTGCATGCCTTTTTATCATAAATGGGGATATCATACGATATCGTAAACGACGTGCAAGTCACAAAAATTCTTAACTGAAAAAACAAATCCCTCGAACCGGAAGCCATGAGCGGAGGCCTGAGAGCATTTATGATCTCACATTCACTATCAAGTCCGCATAGAGCAGGTGAAACCGTCCCGTCCTCAGGAGCGTTTCCTCTGTGACACCGCGGCAATGTTCAGTGTAGTGAGTTAATTCATCAAGAGATCAAATGCTGTGCATGGCACGTGCCCTCCTTAGGAAGAGCACTGACGTGGCTGCTAACGGGAGCGGAAACGGGAATGGCAACGGAAACGGCAACGTGTTCCGTTGCCATTTCGGAAGTACCGTTCCGTGTTCCGTCGCCAAACGGGAAGACAAAGTCTTTCAGTGGTAACGCCATATGGCAGGACTCAGTTCTCTCCATGTGGTGATATGCGGGTTCTATCCCATGCTGTGGGTGGGTCACATAACAGATGTTTAAAGCTGAGCGCGCTTGCAGATGAGGAAGCGCAATAGCGGACGCGGCCCGAGATCACTGCGCACCACATCCACTCTGCGCCATGAAACCAGACCGAGGGGCTCGCAAAGACAGGACTCGATTGCTCTCCAAGCCACTAAGGCGCTCATGCCCGGACTCCATGTCCTGATCCACATTACTGCGAACACATCTCGCGAGCAGCCAAAGCAGCCGAGGCAACGAGCTGAGTCCGGAGCGAGCGGCGCGCGCCAGACGCCGCGTCGCCGTCCTGCACCGCCCGGCGGCTCGGACGGGACCTGATCGGCCGAGGATGTTGTGACTGGGGGCATTATCTGGCGGCCGGGATCGGCCAGGATCTGCCGGGATCGGCGGAGATCGGCGGGGATCGGGCCGCCCCGGGCGGACACGGCGCCGTAAGACGGCCGAGAGCTGCGCCCGTCATGCCGCGAGATAAACATCAGCCGTCGTATTAGCTGAATTGTTCGGTAAAATGTTTTCTCGGCCCGCGCCGATGCGGCTGATAGCGTGGCAATAACACAGGCGCGCGCGGCCTACGGACAACCGGCATCATTTAGATACCGATTGAGATTTCACTGGCCGTCGGAGAATATTTCTGATCTAAAAGCTCTATCAAAGACAGAATGCCTGGCATTCTGGCCGGCGCCATTTTGGAGTGGCGCTGCCGCGGCGGCGTGGCGCCGGGCCGCGCGCCGCCGGAGCCATCTCCGGTACATTCCCGGATCCTGGGAACACTTCCCGCCGCAGGAGGCGCCGGCTGAGCGCGGGACCGTCCCACCGGCTCCCACCGTTTGCAGCTATATGGCGACCGCAGGCCGGCGCCGACTGGAGAGTGTTCCTGGCCAGGCCCGGCCGGGGCTGTCATCCTCGGGAGGTCCAGGCCCGGCCGGGGCTGTCATCCTCGGGAGGTCCAGGCCCGGCCGGGGCTGTCATCCTCGGAGGTCCAGGCCCCACCGGGGCTGTCATCCCCGGGAGGTCCAGGCCCCGCCGGGGCTGTCATCTTCGGGAGGTCCAGCCCCGGCCGGGGCTGTCATCCTCGGGAGGTCCAGCCCCGGCCGGGGCTGTCATCCTCGGGAGGTCCAGGCCCCGCCGGGGCTGTCATCCTCGGGAGGTCCAGGCTCGGCCGGGGCTGTCATCCTCGGGAGGTCCAGGCCCGGCCGGGGCTGTCATCCTCGGGAGGTCCAGGCCCGGCCGGGGCTGTCATCCTCGGGAGGTCCAGGCTCGGCCGGGGCTGTCATCCTCGGGAGGTCCAGGCCCGGCCGGGGCTGTCATCCTCGGGAGGTCCAGGCCCGGCCGGGGCTGTCATCCTCGGGAGGTCCAGGCCCGGCCGGGGCTGTCATCCTCGGGAGGTCCAGGCCCGGCCGGAGCTGTCATCCTCGGGAGGTCCAGGCCCCGCCGGGGCTGTCATCCTCGGGAGGTCCAGGCCCGGCCGGGGCTGTCATCTTCGGGAGGTCCAGGCCCGGCCGGGGCTGTCATCCTCGGGAGGTCCAGGCCCGGCCGGGGCTGTTATCCTCGGGAGGTCCAGGCCCCGCCGGGGCTGTCATCCTCGGGAGGTCCAGGCCCCGCCGGGGCTGTCATCCTCGGGAGGTCCAGGCCCCGCCGGGGCTGTCATCCTCGGGAGGTCCAGGCCCCGCCGGGGCTGTCATCCTCGGGAGGTCCAGGCCCGGCCGGAGCTGTCATCCTCGGGAGGTCCAGGCCCCGCCGGGGCTGTCATCCTCGGGAGGTCCAGGCCCGGCCGGGGCTGTCATCCTCGGGAGGTCCAGGCCCGGCCGGGGCTGTCATCCTCGGGAGGTCCAGGCCCGGCCGGGGCTGTCATCCTCGGGAGGTCCAGGCCCGGCCGGGGCTGTCATCCTCGGGAGGTCCAGGCCCCGCCGGGGCTGTCATCCTCGGGAGGTCCAGGCCCGGCCGGGGCTGTCATCCTCGGGAGGTCCAGGCCCGGCCGGGGCTGTCATCCTCGGGAGGTCCAGGCTCGGACACGCCTGTGGTCCTCGAGAGGCCCAGGCTCGGACCCGGCTGTGGTCCCCGGGAGGTCCAGGCTCGGACCCGGCTGTGGTCATCGGGAGGTCCAGGTTCGGACCCGGCTGTGGTCCTCGGGAGGTCCAGGCTCCGGTCACCGAGGTCCGGGCGGAGACCGCCGTCCTCTGGCGTGCGGTCGCCTCTTCGGCGGCTCTGGTCGGCCGCCGGGCTTGAACGGCAACCCCGGACGCGCCCCGGGGTGGCCGCGCGCGAGAGCAGCGCGCCGGCGGCAGTGGGTGGCGCGGCACGAGACGGATGGCGGCGATAGCGGCTCGGCCCGACCGCCGCCTTATGGGGCGTGTTTGTGATGGCGTACCCCACAGCTCGGGCCGCAGGTAATGAGTCGTCGCACGCTATCCATCGCGGCGAGATGCAGCCGGCGCGATTGCGCCGTAAATCCATCCGCACGTACAGCGAAACGTACTCTCTGGCGCGACCGGGCCCGGGATGGCCCCGCCCCGGCGGCCGCCCGTCGCTGCCCCGTCCAGCGGTGTCACTCTCGGACAGCCGGCCACCGCTCCGTCGCCCCGCTTCGGACCGGCTGCTGCTTGGTATTCAGAGGTCATTATTTTGCCATCACCCGGGCGGCAGACAAGTGGTGTTCTCCGCTGTGAGACGGGCCGGCTTCGCGCTGTCACTGGTGGGTAATAATGCTCTTCATCTGCGTCGGCCCAAGGTGGCACACGACCCAGATCGCCGTGAGAAGCCGTCCCAAAGGTGATGTGGAAGATGGATGAGAGAGATGGTCCGGCACCATTATTCTGGGGTCTGGGTGGCTTTGAAAGGCTCTGAGTGGCAGTATCCAGAAGTTACGTGAGTTTCCGTGCGAGCTAATTTAAGGCAAACTGTGAGCAGTCTGAACAGAAGAAGCTTTTGGTCGTTCGTGAGCGCAATGCACAGAGTTATTTAACGTCAGCAAACTCTTCTACTCGCATTCATTTTGGCTCGCTTTGTTATCTGTAACTGACGTACTTATATGTTCGTGAAGGCCTTTTGTGTGATATCGCACGTTCCACTTAACGCATGTTTCCGCAATAATGTTTTGTTGTGAATGATAAACGTCGAACATGTTTTTCGACTGCCTGGTGGTCAATAAAACACCAACTATAATTCATATGTGGTAAATCTTGAACGGATTTAGGCACCATTTTTTGTGGAATCACTGCAATAATGCTTTAAGCAGCCAAACGGTTTAATCGGTTTCATGCGTACCATGTCATCGGCCGCCAGCAGTCCCCACACCTCTGCGGACTCGGCATAGGGCTGGCGAGGGAGCACACTTCTCTGCTCATGTCCTGCAGAAAAAAGACATGTCTGCTGCATCAGATCCCCATTCTCCACTATGTGCCTTCTCCCAGATGATCCCTGCGTACTCTGTTCTTCGGTCGGCAGTCCTACTTCTGTTGTAAAGAGGATCCTCTTCGCTCTTTAACACTGTGCAGGCGGCCGTCTGCAGTGCAGCTGCTTCGCAGCTGAGGAGCAAACAGATGGTAACGAGCGTCCATGCGACCGACCGTACTGTAGGACTGGTGGCTGAGCACGACGGGCCACTAACCAGTCTGAGGCACCGCGCTACCTTACACGAATGAGTGCTGACATCTTTGCTTCCCTGCCTCGCTTCTGACTCTGATTTGCATTGCGAAGAGAAGTTCGCGCCTGTTCTCCTCAGCCCGCCACTTTCAGCGCCGCTGCTACGGCTCCCGCCTCTGACCGCGGCTCCCTCCTCCGTCACACCCAGCGCCGCTGCTACGGTTCCCGCCTCTGACCACGGCTTCCTCCTCCGTCACACCCAGCGCCGCTGCTACGGTTCCCGCCTCTGACCGCGGCTCCCTCCTCCGTCACACCCAGCGCCGCTGCTACGGCTCCCGCCTCTGACCACGGCTCCCTCCTCCGTCACACCCAGCGCTGCTGCTACGGTTCCCGCCTCTGACCACGGCTCCCTCCTCCGTCACACCCAGCGCCGCTGCTACGGTTCCCGCCTCTGACCACGGCTTCCTCCTCCGTCACACCCAGCGCCGCTGCTACGGTTCCCGCCTCTGACCGAGGCTCCCTCCTCCGTCACACCCAGCGCTGCTGCTACGGTTCCCGCCTCTGACCACGGCTCCCTCCTCGGTCCACAGGGCGGCGGCCGGTTCGGAGCCATCGGCCAGCTGCAGGCGATTCCGCTGGTGGCCAGCTCCCCCGTCCGCCACGGCAGCCCACTACCAGGCCAGCTGGTGGACGTGCAAGCCTACCAGCCGCCCTGGAAGGCACTCACCGAGTTCGCGCTCAACACCGACTTGGACCGGCTCGACCCCAACAACCCCGCCTTCCAGCAGCTGGCTAGCCAGGTCAGTCGAGTTCATGCGGTTCCCAAGTGTCCCGCCTGACAGTGTTTAAAGCCCAGGTCAGTAGCGATACGAGCAATAGATAAGCTACTTTACCTGGTACCGAGAGCTGGAGACAGTCTCTTAACGCCGGGCAGAGGCGTTATAGATCCGCCCATGTTTTGATGTCAACCAAGGCATGGCACCATTTAGTCTTAATTTTTGAGCTGCACACACTAGATGTGCCGCGTACGGACAAATTAAACGAGTCCCCTCGCGAGGCACGATACCATCCGTACTCTGGCGGCTGTGCTGCAATGCTGTCAGCAGCCCAAGTCCTGCTCCGCTCCCGCCCCGTCCCGTCACGTCAGCGAGTCCCGTAACCGGCCGCGGCGCCTCATCCACGGATGACGTCAGCCACTGCGGGGCACGACGGCGGCCCCTTTCATCCGTGGGAGACAAACTGTCAGCGGGCCTTAACGCCCCTCGCCCCTTAACGCCCCTCACGCCGTCCGAGCGGCGGCGCGGCCGCGTCCGTTTCGGCCAGATCGCATCGAGGGCGCCGCCGGTGACGGGCCCGACGCAAAAACGGCATCGACCTCGGACCTCGGCTGCGGCAGTACGCGCGGACTTGTGCTGTTCCGGCGGCCCTGATCGGGTCCTCCTGAAACCGTGTGAAACCTGGGTCTCTGCGCAGCCCAGACAAGTCGCGGTCCCTATGGGCTCGAGGCCAGTGCGGGCCTCACACCCTCAGCGAAAGCCACTGCTTTCGCGGGGATTGTGCGTAGAGCGAGTTAAGTCCCGGATCTCACGCAGCGACGAGGATTCATCGCAACTCAGATGCCAATCGATCCAGCTCTTCCTTCACGGCGGCAGGACCTTCAAAGAGTCATCAATGCGTTGAACATTTCTTTTAAGAGCCAGCAGTTTCTTATGGAACATCATCTGAAGGGTGCGTTTGGCTGCCCTCCACTGCATTTTGTCTCATGTCTTGTATGAGGGCTTGCTCACCACACTCCTGTCACTGTCTTTTTGTTTGATGCTTAACATTTGCCTGGACCTTTTAAATAATTTCCAATTTCTGTAAATATATATATACATATATACGTATATTATATATATGTTGAAATATTTTGGTAGAATCCTTTCTTTTATGCATGGTTGATTAAAAATAACTGTTGACATAGCATCGACGAGCTTTTGTCACATCGTTCTAGTTTCTGGGCCTTTTACTGGGCGTCATCGCTTAGATTAAAGATGGTTCGCACAAAATTACTCATATATTCATCGCTCCTTACATTCTAACTTTTCGAGATCCTATCTCATCGTCGGAGAAGACTGAATAGCACAAAAAATAAGTTTTGAGTTTTAAAGGATAAAATATTGTGCGCTAATGTTGGAAAACATCTTTTGGCACGGCGAACATAAATGAGGCATAACTAAATGAAGCAAGCCAGAATCCTATTTTCACTCTGATACATATAAGAAACACTCATAATGGGAACACTACAAAGACACAATGGAAACACTATTGTTGCAATCACATCAATAGTGCTCACCGCCCACCACTTAATAGTTCAAGAGTTGTGCAAGAATTTGTCTGTCTGTTCAGAGCCGGAGAGAGTTTGTTAATGAATATGCTTCCCCAAACTTGAAGGCGTCTTCTGTCATTGCACGTCCGTAAAATGTCAGTGTTGTCTGTCAGTTGTTGTGTCAATGTCATGTCGTGTTCATGTCGCATGTGGTCCAGATGTGCCCCGTCACGTAAGTGCATCGTCAGGCGTCGTGAGAGTGTCGTGGTCACACCAATGTAGGGCATGGAACAAAGTTTGAAGCCTTCGATGTTGCATTTAAATTGATGCACTACGTTGGTGCGTTTTAGTTTGTCGGGTGTGTCTGGGCTGTTTCTCATAAGAAAGCTAGATATTCTCTTATTACGATAATAAACGTCGATGTCTTTTCTGTGGTCGTTTTTGCCTTTAACATGCCGAGAGGTAATTTCCCGTAAAACTTTTTGTATTTTATGCTCTCCGTACCAAAAGATGTTTTCCAACAGTAGTGCACAAGTTTTTATCCTTCAAAACCCAAAAATTATTTTTTGTGTCATTCAGTCTTCTCCGACGATGAGATCGGATCTCGAAACGTTAGAATATAAGGAGCGATGAATATATGAGTAATTTTGTGCGAACCATCGTTAATTTAAGCGATCATGCCCAGTCAAAGGCCCGGAAACTAGAACGATGAGTCAAAAGCTCGTCAATGCTGAGTCAGCAGTTATTTTTAACATATATATATATATATATATATATATATATATATATATCCCTCTCTTTTTCTCCCTTTCTCACCCTCTCTCTCTCTCTCTCTCTCTCTCTCTCTCTCTCTCTCTCTCTCTCTCTCTCTCTCTCTCTCTCTCTCTCTCTCTCTCTCTCTCTCTCTCTCTCTCTCTCTCTCTCTCTCTCTCTCTCTCTCTCTCTCATTCTCTCCCTGCATGCACATCTTGAGCACCATACTCACTAGGAAACATCGGATTTTTGCTGAGCGTACAATCATGCCAAAAGTATGGTCGATACCAGATAGACATACTCTCATTCTGTCTTCTTTCTAGAAGACGTGGCAGCCTGCTCTGTTCCGCAAAAATTACTGTATGAAGAGGTCCAATCGTTCACTATGCCTGCTGGTGTACGGGTCCAACCGACCCCAGTCCCTCGACGCCCGGTCCAATGTAGTTCACTGGTCCAGCGGCGCCGGCACCACCTCGTCCGGCGAGCTCGCGGCCGACCAGCCAGCGGTCCTCTGCCCAGCCTCGGCCGCGCCTAATGCATCCTTTTACCGGGCCCGTAATTAACGTAATGGACTCTCCTTTAGCGGGCAAATATTATGGCATTCTTGTCGGCGGCGATGAAGAAATCTGCGGCGCGCCGATACGGATCGAGGGCGGCGCGGCTGAAAGGCGCCGGCCGGACCCCCTGGCGCGCCGACAGGCCCCCGCTCCGGAATTTGTCAAACAGAATTACGGCCGTGTCACGGGCGCGGCACCCAGCGCTCGCTGAATGGCGATGCGTATCGGCGCGCCCGACCGCCTGGAGTAGGCGACGACGGCGGCGGCGGCGGCGCATTGGGAAGCTGCCGGCCGCACTGCCGTCTCATTGTGGGCCGGCGCCGTGGAGCGCCGGCCGGCGCCGGCGGTGGCGGTCGGGGTCACGCGGAGGGCAAGCTGCAGGAGAGGACCGGCCGGTGGCGGGGCACCGGCGGCCGGCGGCGGACGCGGCGCCCGGACGGGGTGCGCCCCAGTCCGCGCCGCCGCTGCTCCGTATCGTGGCGCCCGGACGGGGTGCGCCCGCGTCCGCGCCGCCGGTGCTTCGTATCGTAAATCGGCTGGCGAGTGCTGGGTCGGTCCTGACCGGTATCGACGCGGTGCATCAGACGCGGCGGTGCCTTTGATCCGCTGACTAATCACGACAGAGGTGCAGCGTCACAGGAGTGTGACGTCACGGGCGTCGCCGGTACCGTCCGTCGGCTGCTGGGGCGGGAAGAGACTACTGCGTTCGATGGAAGGGGAGACTGCTGACGCTTGGGGAGAGGCTGTTGATGGAGCGCTCGATGCTGCTGATGGAGCGGTGATGAAGGTCGCTGGCGGAGCGCGGAGAAAGATCGAACGCAAAATTCACAGCGAGCACCGTTGTCTAAAGTCAAAAAGTGTGAGCGAAATGTTAATGGGCTTAACAATGTCAACGACGGCGTGCAATCGCATGCGTGCAGCGCGATGTTACAAGTCCGGCATTGCGCGACACTTTGTCGCTGCCAGTTTGGCTGCCGGAGCCATAACGGAAGGCGGCTGAACGGTAGATAACGTCTGCGCTGGGGAGTTCCGCCGTCTTGGCTAGCCGCGTCTGGTCCAGCCCAGGCTTGCCCATCAATGTTTTCTCAAGACTTCCAGAAACTTAGACAAACCAAGCCTCGCCTGCCTCAGTCTGTGACACAGTCTAGTGGCTGACACATCAGGCCGGCGACTTTGACAGACACACTAGGCCGGCGACAGCAGCACCTAGACCTGAAGGGTCGGATGACTTATCACTCGGTATCGGCGCCCTAGCATCGGCGCCGATACCCTGTCCGAGGTCCAGGTGGCTCGGCGTCGCGGAACATGGGCACCTCGGCTCAGTGCTCCACCAAGACTGGGAGCATGCTGCATGACCTTTCCTACCCCTGACGTTAGTGGTCGTCCAGTCTGCCGAATAGGAAAAGTTAGCCGGCAGAAATGCCGATTTCGGCAAGAGGAAAGTCATAAGCAGCATCTTGAAGGCGCAAGGGAATGTTCCGTGTGCTGACATCCAATTAGAGGAAGCGTGTCGCTTTTGCGTAGTATTTTGAGCTTAGATACCAGACCGTAGTGCAAGACAAAAATTCACAACCACAACAGCATTGAGGTATAAAAGCCCTGGTTTCTAAGCTATACAGGGTGCAGGGTAGAGTACAGGGTACAGGGTACAGGGTACAGGTTACAGGGTACAGGCAGAGGGTACAGGGTGTATATACCTGTACAGGTTATATATCACAGGTGATATCACAATGACGACACGCGGGGGCAGGGAAGACTCTTACTGGTCGGTGGGCGCTTTGTGGTGTTCGACGACCTTGACCGGTCGTGCCAATAGCACCGTTTTGTGGCCAACGCGCGGAAGGTGCCGATCGTTTCCATTCCTGCAAACTACGTCATATACCACTGTTCCGAACAAATTGCTCAAAGCAACCTCAAAACAGCTATATATATATATATATATATATATATATATATATATATATATATATATATATATATATATATATATGTGTGTGTGTGTGTGTGTGTGTGTGTGTGTGTGTGTGTGTGTGTGTGTGTGTGTGTGTGTGTGTGTGTGTGTGTGTGTGCGTGTGTGTGTGTGTGTGTATATAAATTCCTTGAAGAGCTGCGCCAAAAAGTTATAGGAGGACCACACTGCCATGCAGCCATTGGGCAGGAGATTCAAACGGCAAATCCTGAA